CCAGTCACGAAAAAAGACAAAAAGGATAAAAAAAAAAAAAAAAAAGAAGGAAATATGAGTATAGTAGTAAAATTTGTCTTTTATTGTAGCAACTTAAATAAAATCCCTAAGACATAACATAAAAACACAGTTTAGTGAAGGTCATTTGTGCATGTTGTTTCTTCTTATTTCAGTTCTCTCTTAACCACTAGAGAGATTACTAAACCCAGTAATCTGTTTTAACATATCCCACTCTCTACATGGCTACCAGTGTTCTGTCTAGAACAAAGATTTTAATATGTCATTACTTAGAAATTTCTCATGATTTCTATAGAATCTGTCCTGTTATGCCTTAGTGCACAGAGAACAGAAATGAATCTGTCATGAGACAGAAACCACTCCGGTTATTTGATCAGAAGTTATTATAAGTATTACTATCACATAAAGCAAATTAACTGTTTACCTGAAAGAGTAAAAAAGCAAGCACTAAGGTATCAAAGAGGTAGGAAAACCACAAACTGGATTCAGTTTGTGGTACATGAAAGAAATTCCACTATTAGGGGTAAGAAGTATTTCTGGGATGAGCATCCTTTCTAGCCTCCTATTCTGCCAGTCTCCCCACTGTTACTTTTCCATCTTTCCTTACTAGGGCATGTACCTTCAGAATTCTCTTTGCCCACATTGTTTGCCATCTGTGGGGTTCTCTCCCTACATATCTGATGAACTTTTTCTTATTCATCAATGCTGAACTCAAATGTTACCTCATTTGGGAAACCCATCTCCCTCTCCTACAGAATCAGTCCCTCCTTTTTCAAAAGTTTCCAGCACATGTTCATGGTTTGTCTTATATTGTTTGCCATGTGGTAGGATAGTAATTTATCTCCATGTCTGCATGTGTGTTTTACAGTGGTACTTCTTACACTACATTGAAGATTTACAAATTAAATGTTTTCACACTACCAAAGTACAAATTAAATACACATACTTTCATAAGTACTCTTTAGGAACATATGATTTATAGATTTAATGATTTTTATGGCTATATTTTTGCCATAGGCATATGTAGGAAGTGGGGCTGAAGGAATAAATGATGGGGTTGTAGGGAGAAGAGAAAGTAGTAAGTTGGGGCTTAACAAAGGGAAGAGGTTGAATTTATTAAAATTTAGAAACTGTTGGGCCGGCCCTGTGGTGCACTCGGGAGAGTGCGGCGCTGGGAGCGCAGCGACGCTCCTGCTGCGGGTTCGGATCCTATATAGGACTGGCCTGTGCGCTAACTGGTTGAGCATGGTGCGGGCGACACCAAGCCAAGGTTTGTTATCCCCTTACCAGTCATGAAAAAGACAAAAAAAAAAAAAAAAAATATATATATATATATATAAAAATTTAGAAACTGTTAATCCCCGTGAAGCTGAAATTCAGACCTCTGAAGAGGTGCTGCTCAACTTGATTTCAGATTCATTGCATAATCATCTTTTTGGGAACATGTTAAAAGGACTGAAGATGGCTTTTCAAAATCTATTTAGAGAAAATCTAATATGGCTCAGTCTGCAAAATGTGCCCATACCAGTGGTATAAATGAACACATATATGATAGGTATTTAATTTATAAATTATATATTTAAACCCTCAAATGTCTTACCAAGCGGTGATGTTATTTATATTTATGCTGAAAAAAATACTCATTATCAGTTAACTTCAAACTCAGTTCTTTATGTTATATACAACAGCACTGAAATTTAAATTAGCTATGTTAGCTAATTAGCTAATTAGCTATTATAGTTTAATGTCTATCAGTCTTGAGCTCAGCTATGTTTGTGCTGCATGTTTAAAGTTATTGATCAAAATGAAAATGGGGACAAAGCTACAGAACTGTTAATAGTTTGCTTTTGATTGCTGACTTTTTTTTTATAATTTTGCTTTATTTTTGCTGCCTACAGCTGTTGCTTTTTACTGTAAGTATCCTGAAAGCTATGGTATTCTATGGCTGATGTTTGTATGTAGTATTTTGTTATTTTTAAAAAGTCAAGTGGTACAGAACTGAATGAAGTAGGAAGGAGAACTTTTCTTTCCAATTAAAAGGTAGCCAGTATTAACTGGCATATATCCTTTTTAGTCATTTTCTCTGAGCATGTATGTTTTTATATTCACATGGAAAGAGTATCCATGCTATTATATATCTTGTGAAAAGTTTCCTGGAAGTTTTGACCTAATGCAAGATGAGGCCTAAAAGAATTCAGAGTGTGGCTAAAAGGAATTTGAAACCAAATTTTGTTTTTCTGAATCTGCATATAGAACTTTTTGCTTACTCTTTTTCATTTAATAGTATAAACCTTTTTTTGATTTATTTAATATAGTAAACTTAATTTTACTGCATTGAATGTCTGAGTTATTTTTACTAATTTTTAATTATAAAGGAACATATAATCATAGTTTTTTTAAAAAAATCAAACTACAGAGAAAGTAAAGAATATGAAAGTCTCCAGTCCCCAGAATTTATAATTGTTAACTTACTTGTATATCCTCCCAGAGATTTCATTGCATGTAAAAAATATGAACAATTCCCTTCAACTCAAATGAGATGTTATACTTTTCTTCCACTTACCCATTTTACTTAGCAATGTACCTTGAATACTTTCCTGTGTCAGGATGTATTGTTCTACCAAACTTTTTAAACAGCTAATAGGATTCTTTAAACTAGGCCCCTATTAGGGGACATTTGCAGTGTTGCATGAATCTGTTTTCACATACCTTTACATGTTTTATGTTTGCGTTACTATTATGTTTTGACTTTTGTTAATAAAAATTCTGTGGAAATTTTTCTCTCTTGATATATGAGTACCTACAAAATATCATGGATTTTGCCTCTTGTCCTGCACAACTTAAAATATTTACTATTTTTACAGGACAAGTAAAAGAATTTTGCCAATCTGTGATCTAACCATCATACCACTACCCTTTGTATATTTGTTGCACTTTTCACTATATGGATTTTCTTATTTACTTGATTATTGTCTGTGTTTCCTTGAACCACCATTTATTCCCTTGAATTTAAATAAATTCCCTGAGAGTAGAGACCTTATCTGTCTCATTTCGCATTGTATCTTCATCACCTGGAACACTGTTGATACATAACAGGCATTCCATAAATATTTGCTCAGCAATTAACTATTTAAAGCAGAATGAAAAGGCAGTGTTTTGTTTTTTTAAGATCATCTTAAATACCTAAAAAGTTCTCCCATTTTTAGTGTAATCTCAGTACATCTTTCAAGTATTCATTTTTTTATTTTTCTCGTGCAAGATTATTGCTAGCACTCTAGAAATTTTGTCTCTGGGTTGAAAGTCCAGATATCTGAGGTTCCTATTCTTTAATTCATTTACTATTATACAAGGTTTCTAAAAAATGAAATATAAATCTTAAGGCTAATAAACGCCGTGTTCCTTTAAGATTATTTTTAAATGTCTTTTTTGCCCTTATAATAGGATTGTATTTTGTTAGCTAATTAGCTAATTAGCATTTTAGCTTCATGTGTAAAATTTGAAATGATTGGAGCATTTTTCCTTTTTGATTCAGCTTTATTCTAACCTCATATTTAACTATTCATCTAATAAATTAACATTTGAGCATCTGCTATGTGCCAAGTATTATGCTTGGTATGTCATGTTTTCTCCCACTAACAGCAAACGTTTGTAAAAATATGCATGTAGTATATATGTAACAAATCTAAAATAGAAAAAAGAGGTTTATACTATAACTGGTATCAATGAAGATAAATTTTTTCCTCTAATGTCTCTCAAGTAGTTTTCCAAGTTGGCATTTATTACCTTGGCAGATTCACTAGGGTTTGGGTTATGGAGTATTTGGATAGTCCCATTTGTGGATCTCTTCTAGAGGTACCTATTTATGGTGCCTGAATCCATCTTATATGACTATATAACAGTTTGTCCTTCACATAGGAAACAAATGGCTTTAACAGAGTATGACTTTTTAATAACTGTTCAGCAAGATACACAACTGTGTGTTTCTTCCTGGAAGATATTACAGTATGTTGGCAGCAAGGGAAGAGAACATGAAATGTGTTTAAATTCCCACTCTGTCTTTGTGAGTAAATTTCTCTGAAGCAAGTAATAAAAGGGCTCAGGACATTTCCCCATTCCTTCAAGGTCAGCCAGTACCACTGGCTCTGAGGCTCAGCCCCCAGCGATTTAGTGAACTGATCCAATTCTGGAGCCCAGGGCAACTGAGACCTGTTTTCATGAAGAGTTTAGGGACAATATAGGTAATAACAGTATATTGTTTGATCCTTTTTTATAGAGTTAAAAAGGATACTGAAACCCTTTTGTCCAGTATCTTTCTCTTGGCAAACCGAAATTTCCATCTGCTTGCAGTAATTTTCTAGCACAGGTTGGAGAAGCATCTCTGATTTTGATGGATCATAAAATAGTCTCACCTTAAGCCTTGTAGGTTCAGACACCTGATGATGTGAGCAGCACACTAAGGAGTAAGGCATTGAAAAGAAATCTAAGCAAGAGGTATTTGATGGGTTAACCCTTTGAATACATCAAGAAAAGGCAGTTTGGTGCATCCTTAAAAAAGGAACCTGAGTACATGAATTATTCTGCTTCCAACTTGACAGTGGACTCAGAACATTCAACATCTGTTGGCTAAGACTACCTCTCCCTGGAATTATATTCATGTATATTCAGTTGAACCTTTCAGTCCTGGGAGCCAGTCTCTGTCTTTTTGTGTCCTCAGTCTGGGGTGAGGTACCTTCTTCTATGAAATTATTTCTTGCTATATCTATTCCATTACTCTCATCTTTCCTTTAGTCAGGATTATTGCCTCAGGAGGTGTTGAGACAAATTTGTAATTTGTTTTTTTCTTTAAAAGTTAACAGTGTATATAATGCTAAGAAGATAATGCTGGACGTACGGTATTACAGTTACTTGAGCTACCAAAATCTCTCCAGTACACCCCCACTACAGTCATCACCAAAAAAAGCCACAATAATACCTGTTTCTAATTTTTTAAAAAAGAAAGTTTCATAACAATAATTTATTACCATACAGAAAAATTTAGCATTTGTTTATGTGATCAAATCACTTTTAATTACATTTAAAATTAGCCCTTTTCATCGCAGTGAACATTGTTTTGGAAGTTTTAGCCAGTGCTTTGCAAGAAGAAGAAATAAGATAGAACTAGGAGGGAAATATCACTATTTACGTGTACCTGTCATTTACATATGAACAGTAGCTTGAAGTAGAATTTATCTACTAATAGGAGAAATCACAAGAGCAAAGTCTAAGAGATTTAACCCCATGAACACTTAAAATTTTCCTGTGTTAAATATAAATAGAATATAAAAATTAAGAAAACGTTTGCCACTTTACAGTAGACTGTGTTGATACCTAGTATAATTCATTAGGAAAAAACATAAAGGATACCAAAAAGAATTTGAAAAGGAAGAAATGCTAATGGTTTATTAAATTAATATCAGTTACTAAATCTCACCAGTAACCAAAGATATGAAAAATAAAGTAATGACATATTTTTTGGGGGAAATGGGAAAACAAAATAGGACATTATTTAGTAACAGTTTTGATAATGTGACCAAATTTACTCTCTTACATTCTAGGATTATAAAATATTATAACCTGCCTGGGAAACAGTTTTGCAATATATTTCAAAAACCCTAAAAATATGCATGCCTTCTAACTCAGCAATTCTCTTTTTGAGGATTTTCACTGAGAGCATAATCAGATTGCCTACAAAGGTTTATCTACTTGGGGGGAGGGGCTATATAATAATGTCATTTATAATAATAGAAAATGGTAAGCAATCTAAATGTCTATTATTGGGGGTTTGGATAATTGAAATATATAAAATACATGTTATGGAGTACTATGCCTTCATTAAAATATGGCTTTGTAGAATATTTAATAATATCAAAAGGTTTATATTAAATGAAAAAAATTGTGGCTTCCAAATGATATGTGTAGTATGATCCCATTTTTATCTTTGTGTTTCTGTGAACATGAGTTAGTATTTTGTCACCTGAAAAAAATAGATATATTTATTTATCAATAAATGCAACAGTGATTTCTGTTAATCTCTGAAATAGAAATGTACACTTCAGTGTTTACAGAGATCATTGTGCTCCAAATTGCTTTTTGAGGAATTTAAAAGTAATTTTCTTGAAAATAACAAGGCACATTTTTGTATTTATATAGATATTCCTGATCAAGTTATAAGAGTTTTCAAAGCGGATCAACAAAGTTGCTATATTATCATCAGTAAAGACACTACAGCTAAAGAAGTAGTTTGTCATGCTGTTCATGAATTTGGTTTGACTGGCGCATCTGACACACATTCTCTCTGTGAAGTTTCTGTTACTCCTGAGGGTGTCATAAAACAAAGAAGACTTCCAGACCAATTCTCCAAATTAGCTGATAGAATTCAACTCAATGGAAGGTTAGTAAGCTTATTAGTGAATGTATCTATTTGTAGATGTACTTTTGAAGATTCTCTATTAATGCAGATCTTTTTTATTTGTACGTAATATTTTAATACTTTTCCACTTTAAATATTGGCTTTAATTTTGTGATTGTAACATGGAAGATTTAACTTTGTTATTTCTAAAAAACATCATCACGATCATAAAGCTATTTAAGTAGAAGCATCATTATGTTTTAGTGCCACTGTCTCTAAAATTAAAGAGGATTACTCTTTTTTTCCTAGCCTTTCTCCTCTTCATAATTATGTAAATAGAATCTTAGGGTATTCACATTCCTAAGGGCTACCCAAAAGTGGGAGAATGAAAGGGAGGAAGCTTGCTAAGATATTTTAGCACTCGTGTTATAAGAAAGATTTAGGGAGCCAGGGACCGACCCCTCCTCCTGCAATCAGGCAAGGGGCACACCCAAAACACCACTTCCATGTGACCACAGCCACCACAATTGCCACAGATGTCACAACCACCGTGTAGATGGCCCACCAGCCACTCGAGTGCATTGACACAAAGAGAGTCACTAGTGGAGACCAAAGAAAAGAAGGGGATGTCTCTCTCCACAAAACCCATTCCAGAGAGACAGAAGAAGCATCTACTCTATGATAAAAGTGGGGGACTTGAACACACCTCTCACAGCACTGGACCAATCATCTAGGCAGCAGATCAATAGCGTAACCGTTACTCTTTCAGAAGGAGAGAAGAAATCTAGGACTATCAGAGAGGAGAGCGGGGAGGAAGGAGGAGAATGGGGAGAGATTTGATAAGGGGCATAAAGAATAAGCACAATTTGTAATACTATATATGCTAATAATAATGATTATCAGCGTAACCATTACTCTTTCAGAAGGAGAGAAGAAATCTAGGACTATCAGAGAGGAGAGCGGGGAGGAAGGAGGAGAATGGGGAGAGATTCGATAAGGGGCATAAAGAATAAGCACAATTTGTAATACTATATATGCTAATAATAATGATTATATCAACATACGTCAATGTTGAACTCCCCCTTACCCCCCCCAAAAAAGTCTTAGAATCACCAATATACTGTAATCCGTTTTTTTTTTTTTTACAGAGAAGGAAACTGAGTGATACAAATCTTTATATGTATCTGAAAGTGTATATGTATTAATTTATTAATTTGTTGTTAGTATGACTGATATGTACTTCAGGCAGAATAAGCCATAATTTTCACAATTCTTTTTCTAAGTAGTTTTCTTCTTATGAATACACAGGGAAAATTTTTATTTTTTATTTTTTGGCAGCTGGCCTGTTAGAGGGATTGAACCCTGGACCTTGATGTTATCAGCACCACACTCTAACCAAAAATTTTTAAATTTTGAAGGTGTGATCTGAAAATTATTTGATAAACTAGAAAATTGTTTTGGTAGAACATTTGTTCTTTACTCTGGTAATTTTCTCTGAAAGTAGTCTTTTTAGTGACCCAGTTTCACATGTAGAATAAGATCCTTGGAAACCTTAAAATGACTGACTGCCCATCATAGTTGCTGTGAAGAGAGAGTAGGTTAACTCTGGTGTGCTGGCTGTACACAGTGGTTTAGAGCATAGATCCAGGAGCCAGATTGCTTAAATTCAAATCCCAGCTCAGGCTGTGTGATTGTGGGCAAGTTACTTAGCTTCTCTGTGCCTGAATTTCCTCCTCTATAAAATGGGGATGATAATAATAATAGAACCTGCCTCACAGGAATGTTGTAAGGATTACGTGAGTTAATAAACATGACACACACTATAGATGTTAGATATAATTTCACTGTCTATAGTGTAGTGAGTCTCAATGCTATTATTTATGACATTGTCTTAGATATGTGAACAGTATAAATGCAGGAAAAAAAGAGTTTTTTGACAGTAAAAAAAAGACACAAACTTAGATAGGCTTAGATCAAGTCATATTAGAAAAGAATGAAGTAAAAGCTACATGTGATACAATGTGTTACCTCTTTTCTAAACCTGTACAAGATATTTCCAACTGTCTATACTTTAGTCCTGTCTCAGCTTTTAAGTGCTTAAGATTGTTGATCTAAAGAGAAGAAAGGAGGGCCGGCCCGGTGGAGCACTGCTACAGTGCGCCGCTTGTGAGCGAGGCAGCGCTCCCGCTGAGGGTTCGCATCCCACATACAGACCGGTTCCTGCTCACTGGCTGAGCGAGGTGCGGGCGCAACACCGAGGGTTGCGATCACGTTGCCGGTCCCAGTCCAGTACGGGCGCGACACTGAGGGTTGCGATCCCGTTGCTGGTCCCAGTCCAGTACGGGCGCGACACTGAGGGTTGCGATCCCGTTGCTGGTCCCAGTCCAGTACGGGCGCGACACTGAGGGTTGCGATCCCGTGCCGGACATGAAAAAAGACAAAAAAAAAAAAAAATAGAAGAAAGGAAAATGCAGGTCTTTTGTACAGTTGCTGATCAATGCCATTTGCTGGAATGAGATTTTGTATTTAACAAGGGAGAAACCATTAGTGGAAGAGTTTCCCCTCCTTTATGGATTTTATTGTTCTTTCCTTTGCTTGGAAATTTAGAAAACAAGAAGGAAATGAGTGCAGCAACAACTTTTGAGTTAGATATTTAAACTGTCTTGATTCAGGTGTTTGTTTTTCCCTAATCAGAATTTATGCTGTCCATGCACAAATATTTATATACTACCAACTATGTGTCAGATACTTTTCTAGATGCTGATCTTGCCCTCAGAGCTTTTATCCTCAAGAATATACAAACATGATTGTTCACAGATGATATACGTAGTTTCGTAAAATGATAAAGTTCATGGCATAATCAACATTATTTTTAATCTTTAAAATAATAGATGTCAAATGGTGGCATAAGAGGACAACTTCTCAAAAGTCTTCCCATTTAAAATGTTAATTTTCCATTTCATTTGTAAGTGAATATTCTAATGTTTTTGATAAGAAATTATTAACAATAAAATAATAGTTGGATAAAAATAATAAAGAGGGAAAGTGCTGTTATAAATGTGAAATCACATTTATGATCACATTTATATAAAATAATTTTTTTTCCTTTTAGGTATTATTTAAAAAATAACATGGAGACAGAAACCTTATGTTCAGATGAAGATGCTCAAGAACTAATTAAGGAAAGCCAACTGTCATTGCTGCAGCTCAGTACCATTGAGGTGGCCACTCAGCTGTCAATGAGGGACTTTGATTTGTTTCGAAATATTGAGCCTACTGAATATATTGATGACCTTTTTAAGTTAGATTCCAAAATAGGAAATATTCACTTGAAAGAGTTCGAGGATATTGTAAACCAAGAGACATTCTGGGTTGCCTCAGAGATTTTAACTGAATCAAATCAGCTCAAACGAATGAAGATTATTAAGCATTTTATTAAAATTGCACTTCATTGTCGAGAATGTAAGAACTTTAATTCCATGTTTGCAATAATAAGGTGAGTCTGTACAAAGAGGTACAAATATCTGTATGTGGTTTTGTCATAACATTAGACATGAAGCTAGTTTTCTGTTTAGGTATTAAATGTCTAGGAAAAATGTACAGTTAATATGCCTTTATTGAAATATTGTTAGATTTCATGTATTTTCCATTCTGGGGGTATTTGCTTTTTCTATTTTTGTTTCTTCCTTCTTTCTGTCACTTCAAAAAACATTTTTTTTTTTTTTGGTTTTGTTTTTTATAAATGTGAATGATAGCCTTCCCATTTTCCTTTTTGTTTTCCCCTTTGAGTGATTATACCCTCATTTAAGTACCCACTTCACTGTGATTTGACACTGTTGGGTATCCATGCCCTGACTTAAAATTGCTATTTTTGAAACAACAACAACAATAATAATAGCAGTCATTTGTTGAGCTCTTCCTTTTTGCCAAACAGTAAATGAGGTATCACTGGATGTGTTATCACTGAAGCAAGCTAGACTGTTAGAATTATTAAAATCTTTTGAAGTTTATAAGCCCAGGAAGTGTAGATGGTTACATTAACTCTCCCCACTACCTTCTCCCCATTAATTATGAGATGCCAGTTCTAGGTAATTTATTTTCTTACCCTCATCTAGCACACTGCTCATCAACAAAGGGATTTTTCTTCAAGCAAGTCTAATTTTAAAGGGGAGGGGAGTTGTAGTTAGGTCCATTTATAGGGCCATGTGATTGTATATAACAGCATAATTCCGCCTTAACCAATCCCATCTACACACGTCCTACACAGCATTTATAATAATTTGTTTCTATTACTTATGTGAAATAAGAGTAGAATTTTTATAGGGACTTCTTAGTCGTGACTCTATCGTGGTAATAGGATTCTCCTTTATTAAATTAACCAGTGGCCACAGTTGAACTAGACACTATAGGAGAATTGAGGAGTGACCTTTAGAATCCACTGCACCTATATTTGAATTCTGCCTCTTATATGTAATAGCAGTGTGTCAATGGAAAACCAAAGACTGGTTTTCTCATCTATAAAATGGAGGGATTTGACAGACTACTAGGTAAGGAAAACGTGGTATATATACCCAATGGTTTACTACTCTGCCATAAAAAAGAATGAAATTCGGACGGGTCTGGAGCAGCCATGCCAGGAGACAGCG